ATAGCAGGGGGTTGGAACTAATGATCATTGTGGTCCTTTTCAACCCAGGCCATTCCATGATTCTATGATTCTTTGATTCTATGATTTATTTACATCCTCAAGAGGCAGAAAATAAATAATAAAATAATCCAAATTCCATCTTGTCTGGGCAGGGATATAGCACAAACCTCCCCACCTCTTCCCTTCCTCATTCTCCCCCAACCCCATCAATACATCTTAGCATTGTGTCAAGATATCTAGGTGACTGAATCTTAGATAAACTGCCTGACAGATATTGTTCCCAGTGGATTTGGGACCCATTAATGGGACAAATGATCTGCAATTAACCTGCTCAAAAGTCTTGACTGGAGATGGTGAAGGGGCAGTGAGGGGAAGAGAGAAAATATATAAGGTAATCCTAAAGTTTTTGTTTTTTTTTAAAGGGTATATTTTTCTATGCAGGTAGAATGTTTTTAGCATAGCTGGTACTGACCTTTTGTCCACACTGTATTCTTAGATAAAGTGACAAATAGTTCTGTGAGCCTGAAATGAAACAGTTCTACCACGCACAAATGCAAAACTTCTGTGGTGCTGCAGGTGTATCTACGCTTGTGTGTCTATCATTCACGTCTCTAAACAAAAGAAAGCAAACCTGTGTGATGCCAGTACCTCAGTACATTGTGAAACTCATATGTTACCTCTATGTTTTATCTTCTCTATAGTTAATCTTTTACTCTCATGCATTATTTTAATTATGTTACAACATTTTACTCACATCACTTAATTGCTCATAAGCATGTAGCTATTATGAGTATTTTCTCATTGTGTTTTTTTTTTTTTAATGCCTCAATTATTCTCTGGCAATGTTCTACTTTAATGGATGAATGTATTTACCTACTATTTTATCACTACCCTCTTTTTCAGTTCATGTAATTTGGCAACTTTTCTCCTCACATCTGTAAAAATTCTATCATTAACTCATTTTTCAGCTTTTTAATTTGTTCCTGCTACTATTTCATTCTAAGCAGTATTAAATTAACAAAATAAATCCTATACTCATCTTCTTGTCTCTTCCATGCCAAAATGCTTCTGCTTACCAATGTCTTTCGTAGCAGAGCAGTTTGCTTTCAACAAAAATATTGAATGGCCCAGTGAAAGAGAGAGGCAGAGCAAGAGAGAGAATGACCTTATTCTCCAGTGGTTGGATCACGTCTTTGAATTAACCAGAGCAAAATGGGAGCCTTCAAAATCTCCTGCCAGGCAGGTGTCCTGGCTACCAGGCAATCAGCCATACTGGAATCATCCTCAGAAAAAGGCACTTCTTAGTGGAAGTTGGGTTTAAGGCACATATGTTTCTCATGAAAAGCCTTAGTCAGACAGCACAGCAAAAGTGTTTCCTTGAAAACCTCCTGTTCAGCTGTGGTTACCATGGATAAGGATGTAAATCTTTCATATATATAAAATCATACAGATTGTCCAGCTCTCCTTTCACTTTGCCTAGCACATTTTAAACACCTGTACTGGTATCATAAAGACTCAGCTCCAGCTATTAAAAACATGCTAAACTTTAATGTTATTCACTATGCTGAAATTTTCTGATCTCTAATTGCTAATGTCATTCTTCCACAGTCTCACATTCACCTCCAGACAAAGCGATGTATAGCGATGGATAGCTGATACTCTAGACCTTCAGCAACCATTCAGTACCTTTACTAGTTTAGAATCCCTTACCAAAAAGATTTAGAAATGTCCTTACAAAAATAACTTACTGGTGCCTTCTTCTACGTTGGGTCCTGAAGTTTTGTTAGAGCTCCCTTGCTTCAAGAATGGAGTTGCATTTTTTCCAGTCTTTCTAGCAATTTTCTCAAGTGAAGCACACCCTTCAGGATTTCTTTTTTCACAGTTCAGAAAACATGAAAACAGCAGAGTAAAACCCACTTCATATGGCTGCCAGACCAAAGCATGGATGCTTATTTTATGATACAGACTGTTAAAAACTTTGGCACTGAGAAATATCTTGAGAAAAAGATTGTGAACCAGCAAGTAGCTTGCATGTGTCATAACACGTTATTTCCACTGTAATTCTGTTATTCATCTGACTTACATGCAGACTCAAGTCTTACAGTGTTTACCCCGTGTCAATAACTAAACTCATTCTATCTAATCCTGCTGACTTCAATCTCTGCTCCTGAAGCTTTAAGGAAGGTCTGCGTGTCTTCCTTAGCTGCAACCTGCCATAAAACCATAAAACACAACCACGCTGGGAGGACTTCAGGCTCGTTGCTCCTGAGAACTGCTACCTGAGTTATTTCCAAATGCCCCATTCACCCACAAATGGATTTTCACTCTTTCCTTGAAGCATCACTCTTCTCTTTTCTAACCTTGTTTACTCAAGGATTTCTTTCTAGCTTTGATGAGTGTCCTTTCTCTCTTGATTCTTCACACTGTTTCACATGGATTTGAACTAATGTTACCTTTTTGCTAATCCCCTGCTCAAAGCGATGATGAGAATTTTGATTTCCTTTTAAAATCCTCAAAGTATCTGATCATAAATTTACAGGAGCTATGCAAATCGTTTGTTGCAGAGCTGCAGCGTCTTCCAATAATACCACTGCTGTTTTGTGTTTTGAGGAACAACTTGTTCTCTCAGCGTGTCTGCCATTTGCTCCCTTCTTACCTTCAGTTGTTTTGCAGTTCTCTGCTAATTCAGATGACCTTTCTCTTTGTTTCTACTACTAGCTTTTAAAGCCAGATGGTTTGCATGACCCATGAGAATATACTAATTTATGTTTCTGCACTTCCATTTCTCATCTTGCCCCCCATCTCCACTCCTCCCCCGTTCCTTCTTTTTTTCTTTCTATACTTTCAGTGCTCAGATTTCTTTCAGAATTGTTGGAATTGATTTTCTGAGTTAATGAACACTTGGCTGAAAAGGACCTATTGTGTTCAAGAAACCACTCCCCTCCAAGACGAAAGCAACCATGTAAGAGACCTCCATCACAGAAATGCTTTGAAAGACCACCCAATCCTTTTGCAAATCTTGTGCCAGCAAACAGCAGCCAGTGTCAATATATTTCTTTGACATTTTTGTTTCTGAATCAAATGTTGTCTGTTTACAGCCAATTTGCCAGCCTTAACCACCCAGGAAGAAGGTGACTTTGCACTAGGTCTAGAAACCAGGACTCTTCTCCATCTCATGCTTATGAGTGAGTTTTTCCCAGGGCAGAACTGAGAATTACAGAAGTCTGCAAATGTCCATCAGAGCACCAAGAGACATAAGCATCCTCTGTGACCCCCACGGACCTCCCCACAGCCCTATGCCTGAAGCCAAGGGCAAAGTTCCCCCCTGGCCACCAGACCTGGCCTGACCACCTCACAGCAGGTCCCAGATGTCTCAGTGCAGTGGTGGGATGCCTGAGACCAGCCCTCTAGCCATCGCATAGTCTTCCAGGGTTACTTTGTTTTGTGGGGTTTCATTATTTAATTTTCTGATTGATGGCAAAGTCACTTCATGTATAACAAATATTTTTTCAAAATATTTTTTCAAATATTTTGAATGTGAGTCTGCCATGACTATGATTGAAGTCAAGGACGAAGTTTTTCAGGGAGTATAATTAGAGCCACTTACCTCAAAGATGAACATCAGGAGAATCTGAATTCCAGCTGCAATAGAAGAATTTGAGCCAGAGTTGTGCAGCCTAGAGAAGAGAAGGCTCTGGGGAGACCTGAAAGCAGCCTTCCAGTATCTAAAGAGGGGCTATTAGAAAGAAGGGGACAGACTTTTTAGCAAGGTCTGTTGTGATAGGACAAGGAGAAATGTTTTCAAACTAAAAGAGGGGAGATTCAGTTTGGGTATAAGGAAGAAGTTATTTACTAATAAGAGCAGTAAAACAATGGCACGCGTTGCCAAGAGAGGTGGTGGATGCCCCATCCCTGGAGACCTTCAAAGGTCAGGCTGGACAGGGCTCTGAGCACCTGATGCAACCTGAGCAACTGTAGATGTCCCTCTTTACTGCAGGGAAATTGGCTAGTTGACCTTTAGGTGTCCCTTCTAATTCAAACAATTCTATGATTCTATGAATTAAGCAGATAGAGAGGGAGACTGAAAGGCCTGGGACCTTGCCATCATTCACAGTATCATGAAGGTGGTTGTCCTGGTCAGACACACAGTTTCTCCTCCCAGATGGTACAGCCCCTGTGCTATTTCACCTTGGTGACCGCAATTGCTACATTAAAGCCTCGATATATGAGAATCTGCAAGTGAAGAGGCAGCCAATGGGTTTGTGTTGAGCCTTATTCAGACAGGCTGCTGGATCCCACTCCTGCAGCGTGAGGTGGGAACAGGAGGTAAAGCTCTCAGGTGGGCATGGGTGTCACCAGCTGAGGGTTCATAAAATGCTTCATCACAATGATTATTTTTCCATGGAAAAAAATGAAGCTAAATAAATGACTACCTGAAGGAACAGCGTGGAGCTGCCAGGGGAAGGGCAGCTGGGGGTGAGGGAAAGGCTGTGCCCCAGAGTGGTGGGCATGGACTGGGCTGCCCAGGCAGCGGGCACGGCCCCACTGCCGGAGCTCAGGGAGCACTGGGACACTGCTCTACACAGGGTTGGGTTTGGGTGCAGCTGTGTGAGCTGGACCTGATGATCCCCGTGTGTCCCTTCCGATTCGGCTATTCCTTGATTCAGTGACGCTACTGAGGAGGCTGCAGGGAGAATCCACCACTCCAGCGCATTTATAAGGACAAAACTTTCACACCGTCTTCCCCGAAGGTGTCTGAGGCGTTTAATAACCCCCTCCCCGTTCTCAGCCATCTTAAGAGGCTCCGAGCGGGCAGAACGGCCCGCCGCCCCACTCCCCCTCAGGGCAGCCCCACGGCCCGGCCCGCACCGCGGCGCCCCCGGGCGGGGAGCGGGGAGGCGGGAGGCGAGCGGGAAGCGCTGCCTCCGCCGGGCGGAGCGGGGCGGGGCCGGCTCGGGGGCGGGCGGGCGGCGCCGGTCGCTGTCCTGGGTGTTGAATCCGCTGCGGCTGCCGCTCTCCGGAGCCGGGGAGGCAGAGGGAGAGCGGGAGGCATGGAGTGAGGGCCGGCGGCGGGCGGGCGGGGAGCGGAACGGCCGCCTGCGATGGGCCAGGCATGATGGGGGCGCTCGGCTCCGTCCTCGCGCTGCTGCTGCCGCCGCTGCTGCAGGTCCTCGCCGCCGCCCCGCGCGGACAGCCGCTCTCCTCCGCCGGAGCCGCCGCCGAGGCGCAGATCGGTGAGTGGGGCGCGGGGCGGGCGGGGAGCGGGGCCGCGCCGTCCCCCGGTTTCCCCGCGCCGCTGCCCGGCGGCATCATCCCGCCCCGGAGGCGGCCCGGCAGGCCCCCGGCGGCCGCGCCCGCGCGGCGCTCCGCTGCTCGCCGAGGTGCCGCGTCCTGCTGCCGCGCCTCCCGCCCGGCCCCGGCCCTCGCGCCGCTCCCAGCCGAGCCGGCCCCGAGCCACAGTGCTGGGACGCGGTGGGAGCTGCGCCGAGCCGCTGCGAGGAGCCGGGCTGACCGAGGCACCTCGCCCCGACAACTCGCCCCGAGGCTCCTGAAGTCGAGGAGCCGCAGTGGGCGCGCGGTCACCACAAAGCGCTTCCAGTCTCGTCCCACGTCGGCGGTTTCAGCCCTCGTGTTTGGAAACCGCGGGAGATTCCCTAGGCCACAGCCCACGGGTGCAGCCCGGCACCTGCGGCTCCCCGGCGATGGGGACCTCATGGCTGAGGCTGTGAGAGGTGCCCGAAAATCCCCACCAGCAGCCTCCTCTTGTGGAGACCATCGCAGTTTGAGCCCTTCCTCTTTTAGAGGATTCCCTCTGGGATAAACACCCTGTCGGAACCTCCCCACGGACACACGGGGGCCCTAAAAGAAGCTCAGTGCCATTAGGGTCAGCGCTGTTCTCCTGTGCAGCCCTCTCACTGCACAGAGCTACCACAGCTGCCCTCCAGAGCTGTCTCCAATGGCACGCAGGCAGCTCTCACTTCACTTTGCAGTATCTTTCAGAAACTCACCTTACACCAAGAAGGTCGTAACTTGTTTTTGTCCCAGTTAAACAGCTACCCAGGGCCGCTGTGGAGATCACAGAGTGAAAGCTAAGCTGTCTCTAAGAAATCCTTTTTTTTTTTTTTTTTTCCTTAAGACAAAAAATAAAATGACTTTCAGTAACAAAGGAAGCCTCTTAAAAAAGTATCCTTGCGTATGCTCTGCTTATTAGGGAGAAATTAAAATCGGTTGACCTTTTTTATTTTAATGAGTCTTTGGTCAAGTGGCAGCGATAATGAGCAATTGCTGGATCTCGTGAAGGTAGTGATGGAAGGCTTAGAGGAGACAGATTTTGGGATGGATCTACTCCTGCCTTCTCTCTCCTGGTTGCTATAGCTATACACTGTTTCTCCCAATCTTCTGGGGTGAAAGCCTGCATAGATACTGAAAGTAAGTGCTGTAATTTGTGTGTTTGTTAAGAATGCCATGGGTTATGCACTGTGCTTTCAGACAAGCTAGATTTTTATTCTCTCTCCTTAAACATAAGCTGCAAATCAATCTGGGTCATGAAATATTTTTCAGCATGTTTTTGTAGCTACAAAACGGTGTTTGTGTGTTTGTCACTTCCCCGTAGCTTCATTAAGGTTCTGCCTCAGGGCTGTCCTTGTGTGGCAGGGAATGGGGCAGAGCAGGCTTCATGTGCATGGGGAGCTGGTGGTTCAGGAGGTACGGTTCTGAGATACTGCAGTAACACTGAAACAAATGGAACCATTCTACTTCTGCTGGGTTAGAGAAATAACTGACACCCCAGAGATCTGTTTTGAAAGAAGGAGAAGGGTTTATTGTGCTTGACAGGAGGCAGGAGAAGAACGTCTGTATTGTTGAAACTGAAACAGGTTTAGTTGCCCCTTCTTTCATAATTCCTTGAATTTTTATTTTTTTTTTTACTGACCAGTATGACAAACCTTGAGATCAAACTATCTATTACAATAGATTTCATGCAATTTTAGCCTACAGTTTGTTAGGCAGAAATAGAAGATGGAAATGCAATACTACAAGGTATCTGAGTCTGAGGATTATTTGTGCTTATAGGTGGAAGATACCCATTTGGCTTCTTGTGCACAGTCCCATTTTCTTTAACTGAAGATTAAACACAGATGCATTATATTAGGTCTATAATACATGCTGGGAGATGTCTTAGAAGCCATGCAATTACATAAATGGTTTTTTATTAATTTGTTTCTATTAAATGTTTCAGAAGGTTGTCCTAAAAGCTGATCCAGAGGTAGAACATTATGATGTTTTTAGGATGTTTTCATCCAAATTCATTCTTTCTGCCTTTTTTTCCCTCAACTTTTGTCTCTGTTTCCCATTCTATTAGGCATCTTAAAATGGTGACCTGTTTTGTCATATACTTAACAAACTTCTTTAGGAAATTGGAAATTTCAAAGTTACAGTTCAGTAAGATAATGGATCTTTGGAGTTGTTCTTCTGCCTATATAATTTATGAGGCTTTGTAGGATATTTCTGTGGGAAGGTGTTTTTATAAGATGGTATTATCAATGTGAGCACTTATTGTCTTCTGCTTCTATGAAAAAAACAGTCTGAGTGCATTGTTGGTGTTTAGAATCACCATAGAATCACAGAATTGCCAAGGTTGGAAAAGACCTGCAAGATCATCCAATTAATTGGTCTTAGATGAAATGGTGGGGCTGGGCATTTAATGTTCCAAGTTAATCTTGATTTATTTATAAGACACAGACTGAGAATATGGAATTTTTAAAAGTGTTTTACAAAGTAATCACCAGTAAACAGTACATCCTGATGTACTGGATAGAGGAGTTCGACTCAATGATCCTCGTGGGTCCTTTCCAGCTCAGGGTATCCTATGATTCTGTGTTTGCTAAATTCAGGGGTTGTTCCGCTCTTGTAATGGTGGTGATTCAGATGTTTTTCCAATAAGTAATTTTCTTATTAGCAAACGATCATGCCGAGGAAGCAGTTAAACTTAAAATGTCTTCCAAAAGACATTAAGCACTTACTTCAGTAAAAATCCTGTTTCCACCAATTAAAAAATTTCCTGCAGTTGTTTAGGCTTCTAAATAGATGCTTCCATTTTATTCCAATATTTGGTTTTCTTATTAGATATGTTGTGTGAGATAGAGAACAAAATTGAACATCGCTCATCACGTTATTTTATTAGTCCTAAAATAACAATACTTCAGAGCAGAAGTCATTCTGATATGGCATTGGTGAAGACAATCAGAGTGAGCAAGCTGCAGTGCTTTCATATTGACCTCTAATGTGTAAAATGATGCTTATCACCTTCAGTGTCTACAGTAGAAGTTGGCAATTTAAATTGATGCTTTGTGCTGCTCATAATCTTGTGGGTTTTTTTCTTTTTAGTCTGCATTTTCTTCTTAAATGAGTATGTTAACATGTAGTGGAAATTTCTGGAGACAGTTCCATGCACTGTGTAAGAAGTTTCTTCGAAGTTGTATTATAATCATCAAATGCAAAATTTCTGCAAGTTGAATGCTTGTGGGCTTAATTTTTAATCGACTAAAAGGCTTGTTGGTCAAATATCAGTTTATAAACATGCAAATTCTTCTGAACACATAGCTGTGTGTGTTTTACATTTCATTGGTGTTTAAATGGGACTGACTGCACTCAAAGACTTTTAAATAGCGTTGCATGTACGCTGCAGGACTTTCACAAAGTACAGTGCATGTGTTTGACAGCTGAAAAAAACTAATTTTGGCACGGGTTAGGAATTTCATGGGATTAAAGTAGAACAGAAGCACGAGATTAGAGGAGCATGGATTTCATTTACCGTAGGTGGAAACAATTTCTCCAGTGTGAATTCTTAAATTAGAAGAAGACAAAATCAGTAGCAGGGCAGATGAAAAGGATATAAAACCTTTGGCTTTTCAGCCAGTGCTTCAAATACAATGCAGAGGATGTTGTGAAAGAGACCTTTAGGAACAGCACAAAAGTGGATCTTAGTTTAGTTCTTGTTGGGTGGACGTTACCATAACAAAACTTAAGCAGCTACTGCTCTCAGCTATTGGTATCAACTGCCTTGCAGAGCCACGACTGAGCCTGGGCTGAAATGCTGCTTCCTGCAGTAACTTTGAGCTGAGCTGAGCTGAAGCTCGCTGAAGTTGATGCCAACCTTCCCATTGACTTCAGCAGCATTCAGATCAGAATTCTGGTTGAGGCTTGCAGCAGACTGGCTGAGAAAGCAGGCGAATTGCAGTGTTGCCATCTGTTCAGTAGATAACAATTGTCTGACTTTCCAGTTATGTTCACTTGGAACTCCTATTAGGCACTGAGATATTTTGATATCACATTGATTTAATATAATTATTAGAGATTCTCTGTGATTTATGATATAATGGTAGCAAACTCGTCAACACAATCATGCAAATAAGACAGTGCTGTGTACTCATAATAGGAAGGATTCAATGTAGGAAGACATATGCTTCCTTTTGTCAAAGGTATTTGCTTGTTTTCTAGAACAACATTCTTGAAATGTTTCTAAGTAAGCAGTTATGTCAGAAAGCAATAATTATGTATTACTTGATATCAAGGCATGTGTGTCTGCTAGTTCCATGGAAGTAAATGTCACAACATGCACTCATGGTTTTGGCATCATGTCATGGCTGTTCTACACGATCCTTCTCAACTTGAAACAGATTATCTGTATCTTCTTTTATTATCTCCTAAATCGGCTTTGTTTGACAGTGTCAAATACATGAGAAGTGAATTATTTTTTTATTGGTAAGAGGAAGTCATTGTGAGGTGTTCTGAAGATTGTTCATAGGGTGGGATTCTCAGGGAGAACCTTTATTTGGTTAACTGGCTGAGAGAAAACCAAAATCAAAATAGGCTTTGGACAAGGTTTTTTGCTTCACACCTGAGCATATCCCAACATTTTCTGTATTGTATGGTGAAAGAAAAGAGAATATTTCTGTTTATTTATTTTTGTATGAAGAAATTGGGGCTAGTCCCAAAGACTTCATCATATTCCACCAACATCATCATGTCATCAGTCAGTCTACTGAAGGGAAATAATTTTACTCCTAGCTGTAAGATCCTAGAATACTCAAGCAGTCCTGCTAAAATAGCAAAGAGTTTTTAATATTGACACACTGATGATAAATAAGCAGTTATCTGTGAACTTTGTCGCAACGAACAACAGTGTTTTTCAATGTGAGTGTGGAGATACTGCAGTTAGTGAGAAGAGGGCAAC